ATTTTACATTTTGAAATTTTTTTTGAGGAGTGATGTTTATAGTTGAACTTGAGATACCTATTCTATTCTGGGTCAATTTGCCTCGCTAATTAAAAACCAAGACAAATGAGTCATGAAGATTTGGATTGAAAATAAACTTCCTTGCCTAAATGAGCAGCAACCTCTGAATACCGCAAACCTTCATCCACTGTGACATTAGGGCCTAAAGCAGTGGAAGATGCTCAACCCTCTTGTGCCACATTGTCCTAATATCTGCCAATTTATCTGTTTTCTGTCTGACAGCTCTTGTCTCTCAGTAATCAAAATGGATTACTCAGGAGAAAATATAAAGTCTCCACAGACGTTGTGGCATGAAATGTTGCCCTGCCTGTCTCTGCATCTCATAGATTATTTGTTGATTCATACTTTGACTTGTAGGCACCAGCCAGGATGAGGACCTCCAAGTATGCAAAATGCATTTTATGCATCTCCTTCCAACTCTCCCCAGAAAAAGACCTTTGTTATAGTTTAGTCACTTCAAGAACAATTTTCTGTATTGAACTGGGCATGAGAAGCTCAAAAACTGACTTGATGTCTGTGATACAAGTTACTGCCGTCCTGGTAGGCCCTGGCAGGCCCTGGCACTGTATTTATTATATTTTCCATGCTATTTACTTGGAGATGAAGACCACTGTATTTCACCATTAATTCACCAACATGAATGGTTAAGACACATCATCTTCTATGTCACCATCATGATCAAAGAGAAGTTCCAGCCTTTCCAAGATTATCATCTTTTTATTTCTGGTGCTCATTTTTTGAGTAATTAAATATGTATCTGAAGTGTGTAATGTTTTTAGTACTCCCTTGCAGGGAATATTCATGTCCCCCGCACCCCAACCCACCACTGCTGTGCTGAGAGTCCACTCAATGTGGGTGGAGTTTACCCACGAGAACAAAAAGGTTCCCGTCAAAAGTTGTAAAAACACCTGCATTCTCGCAGTCTCCTAGAGAAGTAAATAAGAATAGGGAGAAAGTGTGCATGTGTGTGTGGGTGTGTGTGTCTATTTGTTTGAGGTGAAATATGTCTCACAGTTGCAAAGAAACAAATAGTATTGGACAGTTTTGACCCTTTTTACCCTTTGTGGTGGAAATATTTTATATAATCCTGGCCAACTCCTAAGTTCACATTACCTTGACATGTTCTGTTCTGTATCTCTGATAAACTGCCACATTAATCTGTTCTCACAATTTTTAAAGACGCCATCTGACGTCTACAGACCTTGTGCTCATTTCATATTGCATGTGTAACTTGTAATTATTTCATTGGTCTCTGAAATTATTTGTTCTTGCGGACCACGCTCGGAAGTTATTTATATGCATTTCCTGTCTGGCTGAGCAGTGATGACTTGACAGAGCCATTGATCTCTCTGACCGGTTACCGCTCTGCATAATTCAATTCAATTCATTTCAGTTCAATTCAATTCAAAAATACTTTATTGATCCCAGAAGGAAATTTGGTAATAACGGATTTAATAATAGAAACTTTATTAAATCATCTGACGACCAAACCACGCAGTGCACCAGTCTTTTATTCATGTGTTTCTGCCTTAGTGGAATATTTTCCACAACAGATTTGGCGTCACGACAGAGACCTTCTGCGATGCGACAGCATTTTTCCAGAGCCGAAGAGGAAAGGACAGCGACCGGAGCTTTTGGCTTTCGCAAAAAAAGCTTTTTCTATTTTTTTCCTCCATCGTTTTTGTAACATCGGGACTGATGGCTTTCGCTTCGGTGCCAGAGGGGTGAATTGATCATGGAAGGATACCAAACCTTCGTGGCAGAAATGCGGTGAGTTTTTGAAATATCTGCTATACTTTAAGCTATGGCTGAATGGCTAGCAGGCCATGCTAGCTCAAATGCAATGAGATTATATGGGATGCTAGGCAGCTAGATAGCATCCAATGCTAAAGCTAACGTTAATCCGACCCATTGAAAATCAATTCTAATATTTAATTCGAAGGCCTGTCCATTTTCTGCAGCTACTACTGGTGGTGGTATGTGTTTTTACGGGCGGTGGCCCGAGCTAAGTTGAAGAAACCCACAAGGTTTCCGACTTTCAGAGTGTAGGTTTACTACTGCAGTGTTACTGTTGTTTCTCTGACTTAGATCTGCATGGGTCAATTGTGTGCAGATTTTAGGAGCGTAACTTGTTCTGTCTCAAATAGTTTTTACGAAAAGTCTTGTCCAATTTGGGGACTTTTCGAGCTAAACTGAAGTTACCAGTAGGCCTAACTACAGAGTACTGAGTGGGTCTGGTTGTAGGGAGATAGTTGACCGCTATTTTCTTAGGATGCAGGTTGTGGAAAATCCTGCGTGAGCGTAACTTTTATTAAAAGGACACGCCCGCCTCCTCTTTGGAATGAAGAAGTTGGTCTTTCTGTTTTTAGACACGGGAACAGAATGATAAAGAGACAGGGTGGTGGGGGCGCTAGTGAGCACCGTATGGAATAGACGTGTTTTTTTTCTGGCTCCTCACCACTTAAAAATAATTCCATATTTACATTGATATTTCACTCATATTTCGGTTTCCCCGTGTTATGACTGACTGCTTTAACATTGAGGATGACTAAACCCAAGGCGGATAAAGGAAAGAAGCAAGATAAGGCTTCGGAAGAGATGACTGGGCAGCACGTGCTGGAGCTAGCTACGCAAGCTACAACCGCAACAGAAGCTGAACTAGCATGTGAGCATGATACGGGATCCTCTAC